TATACGTCACTCACCCACACGTCACGACCGTCTGTGTCTGTGGGTCGTCCACTATCCATCCATCCATCAGGTGTCATGTGGGAGGCTCATGTCAAGGTCACACACGACAGGGCGCATGCCAAGAGGGCCCTTGACTCCTACGCCAAAGTCAAGAAGATGGAGGAGGGGCTGCAGCTGTGCGAATGGCTCGAAGGCTCTGGAATTCCAGACGTACGGCCCATGGTCGAACGGTACGGCTGTGTGCGCACTGCGTTGGCTGTGCGCGCACTGCGTTGGCTGTCTGAAGTGCCTGGTGCTTGCTGTTGGTTCATTCACGGCGTGCAGGTTTGCCCAGCGCATCTTCAGGACAGCCGCGCGCGAGGCTGACCAGCCGTCGAGGGGTGGTCGTGGCCGGCGTGGCGGTGCCGCCGCTGTCCACAGGCCGAAACAGTCCCAGATGTATGAGCGATCGGCCGCCCTCCTGCCCCTCAACGTGCGGTGCGAGATATTGCTGCAGGCTAACAGACAGGTGAGTGACTAACCGATACAGACAGACAGACAGACCTGTCACTCACGATCATGACAAAGGACGGACGCAGCGGATCGGTTGTGGGGGTGTGTGTGTGTGTGTGTCTCGCAGGACCTCACATCAACGTGTTGGTGGAGCAGGGCCGCTTCTCGGAGGCGGCCGATCTGTGTCTCATGGGTGGCGAGGAGCAGCGGGCGATTACCATGCTGCAGCAGGATCCGGAGCGTCTCCACCGTGTTCTTATGGCCAAGCTCTGTGGCTTCCTCAACACCACCGGGGCGATGGCCGTCTTCACCGGCCGCCAGAGCACCAAGACGCAGGTCGCGACCCTTGTCAGCGACCTCAAGGACGCACAGCAGGCCCGCAACCGTCCCCAGAATGAGCACCAGCAGCAGCAGCAGGAGAGCTTCGACGAGATGCTCATTGGCGTGCTGGACAGCACCCGTGAGAGCGCCAAGAAGTTCTTCGGTAAGGGCGCCCACATGCTGCTCAAGGCCATCAGGAAGACTCACTACCAGCGGCTGATCGAGACCGACGTCCATCAGCGAGCGACGTGCCTGTCGTGGCTGCTGTTCCTCCAAGAGCTGGGGGCGTCGTGCCTCGTCCACTATCGCGATGAGTACAGCAAGGACGGCAAACTCCAGGTCCGTTTCAGAGAGTGAAAACAGGCGCCTTCATCATCACATTGCCATGCCCATCCAATCAGCCCGCCTGTGTGTCGTTGTCCGGCAGGATGCGTTCAAGCTTCAATCCGGTCTGAATGCAGCATGCGACAAGCACGTCTTCTCCCCCGAGGACCCCTCGCTCTGCCACATGAGTGCGTGTCTCAAGAACCGCCGCCCCATACCCATCGCCATCCAGCAATCGGTCGAGCTCATGACGGGCCGTGTGCGTGTCAAGGACGTCTCGGGCAACGAGATGCTCGTCAAGGTGGCGGAGGAGGGCACCTCGTCGGTCTCGCTGCACGATGTGGTGCCGCTACTGTCGTCGTTCCTGCACAAGAAGCTCGTGAGCGGACTGTGCAGGCGGCTCGACACGGCGGTGGACGGGCTCAAGCGGATGCAGCCGTGCTGGTCGTTCCACATGCAGAAGAAGTGTCGCGCTCGGAGCCAGGGATGCCCTTACCAGTGAGCGAGCCGAAAGAAAGGGATAGATACATAGGTGGGCAAGGAGTGACTGACATGGATCCACTTACTGTGCAGGCACATGGAGCAGGAGCCCGACATCGGTGCGGTGGTTGGCGACGTCAACAGCCTGCTCGCCACGCTCAAGGCCGTCAGGGTCAATCTCGAGGCTGCTGAGATGCGGCGGGCGATGCAGGACGATGCTTCCATGGTGGAGCTACAAAGAGAATACACCGCCAAAGCCGCACAGGTACACAGAACGACTCGACTGACTCTTGCAGGGGCCGGCCGGCCGCCAACCTATTCTGTATCTCCCAGGTGCACAGTTTCTTGTGCAATGAGGTCTTGATGCCGACTTTCGCTCCATGCGGCCTCCTGCGCATGGCCGCCATTAACCACTGCCTTCCCCTCGACGAGCTGATCAAGACGGAGATCAACGACCTGCTGGCAGCCGAGCGCTCAGACGCTATAGCACACAAGGTCGGCAGTGTGTGTCGCATTGCGAGTCTCGTCGGCTACCACGGCATGGACACGGTGGAGATTGTCCTGCGCAACAACATGATGTCCGACAACCGAGACGCCACGTGGCTCTTCTTCTGTATGCCGTACACTCACTCTATCGCCACACACTCCTTTTCGCCATGCGTGTGTGGCTGTTCTGTTGTTCAATAGCGTCGGTGTGGTGGGAGGGCAATGCTTTCTACAAGTCCGACGATGTGGAGCACGTGCGGCACTGCTATGCCGAGATAGTCTGGTCCGCCGAGCAGGCCATCCGGGCCATGACCCCACAGACCTATGTGCAGGACTTCCACCCTCTCACCATCAGGTATGTACCTGAACATGGACTAGACAGACGGGCATCCTCATGCGTGTGTGTGGTTTGCTTCAGCCTCGACCCACACACCCTGCTGTGGTTTTGCGAGCGGCTCGTCTGCTTCGCCGGAGCGCTCTTCTCGGATATGAACAACCTACTGCTGCCACAGGTATGCAGGCAGGATTTACCATGCACAGTCGTTGTGTCCCAGACGCCATGGCTCTCTCTCTGTGCGTGTGTGTGTGTGTGCAGTCGATGGCCGTTGACTTCATGCGTCGCTGCCCTCCCTGCCTGATCGAGTCTGCCTGTACGCTGCAATACGAGAAGCCCCACCTGGTCAACGGCCTCGCACACCGCGCCCTGTACGGCGTCATCGACTTCATCAGCCACATCCTACATCCGAGGTACCTGCGGAGCAATTCATGAACAGGTTTGTTTGTGATGGTTTCTCAACCGGCAGGTTCCGGGACAAGCTGACGCGTTGGCTGGACAACTTCGGCACACGCAGGGGCGCGTTCGTGCACCGGGCCATCTGCGTGATGCTGACGGCTGGAGGGTGCCACACGAGCCTCAGTCGGCAGAGGAATGCGATCCAGCGGTCCTTCCATGGGTGGGCTGGCGGTGGCCGCTGGCATGAGGTCCGCAGGCTGCTGCACGGCCTGCCAGCTGTGATCCAACAAAACGACGAATCGCTCCACCACAGAATGGTCAGCCAGGCGACAAACAAAGAGAGCTGACTCATGCACTCGTTCATCGCGGGTTGGTGTGTATGCGTGTGTGGGTGTGGCAGACTGCGCTTGTGTTGGACCCGCTCCCCGACAAGCAAGCTCACGGCACTCGCGGCCCGCTGTCCTTCGACCGCCAGACGCCCTACCTGCACTCGGTGCTGCACGATCTGGACGACAGCTTCGTGCTGCTCAAACGATCTGACACTATCAGGGCTCCTTTCGGTACGCTCGCGAACAACGCACCTCTAGGTACGTACCTGTATTTGGTCGTAACAAACAGGCTGGCCGGGGCCAAGGTACACCAGCGGCTTCTTCTCTCATTCGTCCTTCGACGCCTCCGGCAACCCAAGTACCCACCTGACGCGCGTCACGTGGAAGCCGCCCCGCGCAGAGGTCGTGGTCTTTCGGAGGCAGGACGGCAGGCTCCACTGCGACACCTCGGCCTTCCTCGCCCGCTTCACACCCAAACAGCAGCAGGCCTCCCAGGCCACCACCACTTCCCGGCCGGCCGCAGCAGACAACGACGGATCCTCGCCGCGCTCATCGTACGCAGACACGCAAGCGGCCGAGGACGGTAGCCCCACTGCTGCCACTGGCGGGGCATCGCCGAGCAACCGGGGGCCGGAGGGTCTCGAGGAGGACGAGAGGGACGCCGAGGGAGGGGAGGGGGCCGTCAATGACGCTCAGCTGGAGCAGGGGGCCAACGTGGAGGACTCGCGGCTCAACCTGTCCATGCGCATGGTCCTCCGCCTCAAGGCGACGCTTCGCGCCGCCCGGACCCGCCTGATGATGAACAAGCTCGACGATGAGACCTTCATCCGGTTCGACGCAGAGCGATGGATCAAGGCCGAGAAGGACAAGGTACGTACGCAGCGGGCACGCACACAGTCACTGACTGAGACAGGGCTGGCTGGGCTCATTGGCATATCTCCTCTCCAGGCGAATGACGGTTCGCCCGATGGCGCGGCTGAGTCATTTGGTGAGGTGTATCTGGGTGAGGGCGTGTCCTTCCTGATCGCCTGCCACCGCCGACTGGCCAGCGCCGAAACCATGAAGAAGAAACTGCAGTCACTGGAGACTGCGGGTGAGCTGGGCAATTATGTATGGGTGAAACCTCAAATCACCATCTCGCCTTGTGTTTGTCTGTGCGTCAGCTCGACTGTCTGATGAGGTCTCTGATGCGATCAACGAGGCGTGGGAGGCCCTCACAGCGTACAAGCTGATGATGGAGGAGGCCAGACGGGGCGTGTACATGCAGCAGCAGCCCATCGGCCAGCTGCGAGAGGCCCTCCGCACCTTCGACAACCAGCACAAGGAGGTCCAGCTGGAGGGGGCCCTGCCGCGACTTGACGGCCATGTGAGGGCGTCGCGGCAGCAGCAGGAGGAGACCTTCCAGGCCCTCATTGCACGCTGCAAGGACGCTGTCAGCGCCGTTGATGGGATCAGCTGAGGGGGACAGACATTGGGAAGTTTTTTTCTTGGTCCTGTTTTTTCGGAGTGGTGCATTGCGTTGCATGCATTGAGGTTTGCCCTGACGGGGGCAAACTTAGCGCGTGTACATACACACTGATGTATTTGTTATGTACTTATAGGCTGACTGACTGACTGACTGACTGAGTGGCTCCCTTGGGCTCACAAGCCTAAGAGATGTATCCATCCATCCATCACTCGGCCGCCTATGCTTTTTCGGCCATGGTGTGAGAGGGGAGGTGATGGAACAGACAGACTGCGACTGCTGAGCTGGGGTGCATTCACACAGACATACATACACACATGCTGATGGTGATGGCCAATGCAGCGACGGACGAACACGTGATTGGTGGTTGACTGAATTCATGTCATGTCGGGCAGCAAACTGAGAGCAAGTCCCATCAGTCCCACCCAGTCCCTTAGCCAGGCAGTGTACACGGATGGGATGGGAGGGGATGCATTCACTCACTGTACAGACAGAGGAAACAAGCAAGGCAACAAAACTGAGGCAGGCAGGCAGACATGCAGACATCGACACCCACCACACACTCGCAAAAACTCCACAGAGTGTCCGTCCCTTTGGGCATGCTAAGCGATAGAAGATGATACATGATGAGATAGCTAGCTACAAGGGCCGCGTGTTCGCAAGCCTAGCCTCCTCACTGACTGCACTTCGCAAACAACGCCGCCGCGCTGGCTAAGCTCTCGAGGCGCAAAAGAGCTCTGCCATCTGCCGGTGTGTTGCTAGTCGTCCTCGTCTACGGGGAAGATCTCGGTGACGAGCTGGTGCGCTCTCAGTGCTTCGTGGTAAGACTCAGCCAGCTCAAAGCCCCAGATGCCCACCAACGCCGATCCAGTCGTGTGAGCCTGGAGCAACATGGATGCATGGATGGATGGACGGATGGATGGACAACGAATCGACGTGCGTACCTTCATCATGCAGTCGAACGCCTGCTTGTTGTCAAAACCTGCAAGGCAAGGAAGAGGCAGCAGCGACGCACGGCGGGTGACACTAGCAGAGGCTACCTTACGTGCGGCTGCCTTCATCTATCTGGCCCGCCTCACTCACTCACCGACAACTTTGCAGAGCGTTCGTGCAACATGCTCTCGCGTGTTGACCCTGAACACATACAACACACCCTGTCGTCTGCCTGTCCGCCTACTTGGAGTGGCCGGCTTACGGGTCATTGTATAGGATCAGCTTGTACTTATCTGCCTTCTTGGGGGTCTCATCGCGGGCAGGCTCTGACGGGGCAGTGATGACCTCAGGCGATTTCTCGATGGCGGGGCGGGGTGGTGCAGCCACGCTCATTCTAAGAGAGCTGTGTGTTGGCCGATAGATGAAGGGATGAGGCCCAGCAGCAGCAGCAGCAGCAAGTCGCCTCTCCATTGCGTCACCGAATGCCTGCGGCCACCAACGAACGCACACAAGCACAACAGAAGCAAGAGATCTAGCATCGAGTCAATGTATGCAGCAATCTTGGCTCACCCGTGGCAGTATGAATGCACCGCATGGCATGGCTGAGAGCAGAGCAGCAATCGAGAGAGGCACCGTCGCCGCAGCGCCGAACTTCATGTTTTACAAGCGAGCTCGGAACACACAGCAGATTCGGTAGATCCACGTCTAGAGGAGGGCAGCAGGTGGTGAAGGTTTCCCCTCCTTCGAGTTGACGCGAGCTTGCAACCCTGCACCCCAAACCCTGCAGAGAGTGGGAAGGCTTTTCAACCGCAGTGTCGCTCGCTGCATCGATTCACACCTCTCTGGCATCGAGTTGCCCGTGAGGTGCTGTGGAGTGTTGTGTTGAGCGTCGTTGCGGCGAATGGAGGTGTTGCCGTCAGCAGAGGGTGGGCGGCAGACGAGGAAACAGGACTGGAAGAGGCGAGTCGGACTCAAACAGATATACAAAGGCCTCATCGGCAGCAAGAAAACCTCACAAGGCGCCAGTGGCTATGATGCTGACAAAGCACGGAAGGCAGCGGCGAACGTTGACGGTCGGTGAGGCCAGCCAGCCAGCCAGCCAGCCAGCCAGGCTGCGCAGACAGACCAGAAGCAACCAACACGGTCAATGTCCTGGCCGCCTGTCCACTCATGTCATGTCATGTGTGTTTTCTCTCTGCATGTGTGTGTTTGTGACATCCCCCCAGTGCCGCCCCCTCCGCCGCTGCCGTCCGCTTCGCCTCCCAGCTGGTGGGCGCCTGACGGGTCGATACGGATCCTCTCGCCCGTCAAGACATCAGACTCCACCACGTGGCTCGACGACCCCATCGGCGCGTTTGACTTCGACACATACAACAGCATCCCACGAGAGTCGAATGTGCTCCACCCGACGAACGGCAGCAGCCACAGGCCGCCATCCACGGTGGCCGTCAGCCCCGCCACAGGCGTTGGCGAGGTGGATGATGAGTATGACGGGCGGGGTCTCGGGATGGGCGGCGGTGGGGACTATGATGGCCGCGGCTTGGGAATGGGCACTCGTGGCAGTCGGCTGCCGAAGCCACGGGGAGCAAGGAGCGAGGCTACTGCTGCTGCTGCTGCTGTGCGGTCCGATGGTGGTGCAGGCCATGATGTGCGGCCTGATGCGGCGGAGTTGGTGAAGGGGGATAAGAGGAGCAGGAAGATCAAGAGAAGGAAAGACAGATATCGGGCTTCCAATGTGGATATTCGGCACCGAGGCAAAGTGCTGCTCAACCGGTAGGTGAATGAAGGACGATCATGACGGCCGGGATCGCCATTGGCGGGCGGATGTGTGTTCTTCGTTCCTTCCTGTCTGTGTGTGTGGTAGCTCTAAGGTGGAGCTGGCGGACTGGCAGAAGTCGTCTGAATGCCCCCACATCGCCCCCTTTCCCGCCATATATCGCAACTTCGGTGCCGTCATGCCCAAGTCAGCCAATGTGCCCTTCCGCACACAGTAACCCACCCACCCACCCATGTGTTCCCACCGTGCGTTGCAGACCCATCGGCTGGAAGCCGCTCTTCGACGAGGCGGCAGAAGACGTCTTCGAGAGCGACCAGGAGGATGAAGATGAGGAGTCATACTACACCGTCACCGACTCCTCCCTCTCCCCCTCATCTCTGCGGGGCGCCCGCACACCCACACGTGGCGACGCCAGCGCCAATGCCGGTGCGAGCAACGGCTCATCGGCCCTGGCAGTGGCCAGCGGCGCCGACCACGGCAAGGCCCTGCTGTACCGTGACGAGAGCGGCAAGCTGGTGTACCGTGATGAGCGGGGCGTGGTGCACACTGTGTATCGAGGCGACCAGGGGAAGCTCGTCTACCGCGATGCTGTGGGC